CCCCCCCGGACACCCATGAACCCAGCATAATCCCAAGGATGAGGGAGGCTTTGGTAGTGAAGAGGAAAAATGAACTGAGGGGAGGGGGGAGGTAAAATGAGGGGGGGTTGGGTATACAAAGGAACCCACTGCAATTATCAGATTTCACACTTCTATGCTCCAGACAAAACCGGAAAATTTGAAGATAAAAAATTCTTTAAAATTTTCAATTTTTGACATTTTATTTTATTTTCCTTGATAATATTGATGAAAATGGAAAGTTTAACCTACCACCGTGTTTTCTTTGCCGTTGGAAAAACTAGTTCGGCTTCGTTTTTTTTATCGTTGATTTGTTTGAGGTATAATTCAAAATGGATTCCCACGCGTAAAAATTCTTTATTTAAGGCACCCTTTCCCTAGGTTCAATTAAGGGAATTTAGGACTTGGAGTCATTCCATGGCTTTACGACTTTTGACCTTGCCTTGAGGCAGTAAAGGGGATAATGCACCAAAAGTTTGAAGGGTTAAGGGTATTGATGGAAGGGGGTTTAAATTTACATCGTCCTAATGATATGTCTAGTGTCCAGTAATTGTATACTAAACCTAGAGTTACATTTTTCCTTTTATAACTTTAGTACAACTAGACAACTAGACAACTAGTCAACTAGACAATTAGACAGCTAGACAACAAGACAGCTAGACAACTAGACAAGTAGACAACTAGATAACTATACAACTAGACAACTAGACAACTAGAAACAACTAGACAACTAGACAACTAGTCAACTAGACAATTAGACAGCTAGACAACAAGACAGCTAGACAACTAGACAAGTAGACAACTAGATAACTATACAACTAGACAACTAGACAACTAGAAAACCTGACAACTAGACAACTAAACAACTAGACAACTAGACAACTAGATAACTAGACAACTAGACAACTAGACAGCTAGACAGCTAGACAACTAGTCAACTATACAACTAGACAACTAGGTAGCTAGACAATTAGACAGCTAGACAACTAGACAACTAGACAACTAGACAACTAGACAACTAGACAACTAGACAACTAGACAACTAGACAGCTAGACAACTAAATAGCTAGACAACTAGACAACTAGACAACTAGACAACAAGACAGCTAGACAACTAGACAACTAGACAGCTAGACAATTAGACAATTAGATAGTTAGACAACTAGACAACTAGACAGCTATACAACTAGACACCTAGACAACTAGACAACTATACAACTAAACTAGTTTATGGAATTTTTCTAAATTTTGAAATTTCAATATCTAATTTTGCAGTAAGTTCAAGTTCTAAGGTCTGATCAAGATCAACTACATTAGAGATCAACTACAGTAGAGATCAACTACGGTAGAGATAAAAAAATTAAAAGTCCTTCAATTAGTGTCGCCTCGTAAAAACAAGAAACAGGTCAATAAACTAGTTGTACAGCTTGTATATTCAATACATGTACAATGAGCTAGTTGTACAGCTTTTAAATTCAATACATGTACAACAAAGTAGTTGTACAGCTTTTATATTCAATGCTTGTACAATAAACTATTCAGCTTGTATATTCAATACATGTACAATAAACTAGTTGTACAGCTTGTATGTTCAATACATGTACAATAAACTAGTTGTACAGCTTTTATATTCAATGCTTGTACAATAAACTATTTGTACAGCTTTTATATTCAATACATATACAATAAACTAGTTGTACAGCTTGTATGTACAATACATGTATGCAATAAACTGGTTTTACAGCATTTACATTCAATACATGTACAATAAACTAGTTGTACAGTTTTTAATTCAATACATGTACAAAAACTACTTGTACTGCTTGTATATTCAATACATATACAATAAACTAGTTGTACAGTTTGTATATTTAATACATGTACAATAAACTAATTGTACAGCTTTTAAATTCAATACATGTACAATAAACTACTTGTGCAGCTTTTAAATTCAATACATGTACAAAAACTATTTGTACAGCTTGTATATTCAATACATATACAATAAACTATTTGTACAGTTTGTATATTCATTACATGTACAATAAACTAGTTGTACAGCTTTTAAATTCAATACATGTACAGTAAACTAGTTTTACAGCTTTTAAATTCAATACATATACAATAAACTAGTTGTACAGTTTTTAAATTCAATACATGTACAATAAACTACTTGTACAGCTTTTAAATTCAATACATATACAATAAACTAGTTGTACAGTTTGTATATTCAATACATGTACAATAAACTAGTTGTACAGCTTTTAAATTCAATACATGTACAGTAAACTAGTTGTACAGCTTGTAAATTCAATACATGTACAATAAACTAGTTTTACAGCTTGTATAATGTATATTCACTGTATGTACAAAAACTTGTTGTACAACTTGTAAATTCAATACATGTACAATAAACAAGTTGTACAGATTGTACATTCCTTACATGTACAATTAACTAGTTGTACAGCTTGTACATTCAATATATGTACAATAAACTAGTTGTACAGCTTGTTTATTTAATAAATGTACAATAAACTAGTTGTACAGATTGTACATTCCATACATGTACAATGAACTAGTTGACAGCTTGTATATTTAATGTATGTACAATAAACTAATTTGTACAGCTTGTATATTCATTACATGTACAATAAACTAGTTGTTTAATTACATGTACATGTACAATATAAAATAATTCCTGGTTCCTGGTTCCTGGTTCCCTGTCCAACCCTCCGTTTCTTGAATAAAAGTGAGGTGACCATGTAATCTATTTTTTGTCTAAACATTTTGACTGAAATGTGTCAAAATCTCAACTTTTTCAGACTTGAGGAATATTTACATTAAATTATAATATTTCATATTTTACTCTGCAATGGTTTAGTTTTTGCTAATATAAGAAATATGGGGTGTGAGGCTGTAAAATAATATTTTCAAATCTTCATAATTGCAAACACGTGAAAACAGGCAGAGAGAGAGGGATATTATTTTCCCCAAAAAGCAATATAAAAGTGACCAAACCAAACCAAAATTTGAAAAGAACAAACTTGAAACGAAATAAATCGTCGCATTTTGAAAAAAGTTGTAACTATAAAATGAACGATAAGAATAAGAGAAATAAACGGGTTCGCCGCGGCGCGTCCACGATAACTTTGAACTTTCTTATTATAAATCTAAAAACTTTAATTAGTAATTTGTTGCTGGCAAGACAAGAGTCAAAGAGAATGCCAAAAACAAATTAAAACCCCAAAAATCAGATGTTGCATAAATAACTTTGATTTAGGGATCAAGCCTTGATCCTAAAATTAAAAGATGTCCATATCTTACTCCAAACATCAAATTCCTACACCTCAACTCTACCTATTTGTCACAAACAACATTTGGAATTGAATTCTTAGTGAACAAATGTTGTGGGCTCCATTTTTAAGACCACTAGGGGTAACCAGGATTTAGACAAGGAACTCAAAGTAAAATTGCAGAAACCTACAAACAAGAAACAAGAATAAAAAAGAAAATTGAACAGGAAAAATATTAGGGAACCTCGATGATAAAGTACACCATCAATTTTTTTCCGTTGGCAAATGGAGAAATCATTTGAGATAGGGCTGGGAGACGTCCCCCCCCCCTCCATTTCATCTCAGAAAATATATTAGAAGTATGTGTTGAAGCTGAATCAGCACTGCATTAACCTTCAATCAGCTTGTCAAGTCAAGCATTCTTGAGTTAGACAATAAAATTGAAAATTACTACAACTACAATGGAGCCGAGTGTCCCAATACAATACAACGGAGCCGAGTGTCCCAATACAAACTGGTTTCGACAAAAATGTATTTTCTTTCAAAATTATCAGAATCAGGGACAGTCAACAGAAGGAAAAGAAAAGGAAAGAAAGAAACGACAAGAAGAAGAATCAAATCAGAAAAAATCAAAAAAGTATCAATATTGGATATTGTGATCAATCGTGTAAGATTAACGATAATTCACACAAAAGTTCATATAATTAATTTATTTTTAATTAAAAAGGAAAAAGGTTCCCACTCAGATTGTATTTTCAAGATTTTCCCCAGATCTATATTTGATCCTACAGCAGGATAAATGAAGGGTTCNGACAAGTAGACAAGAAGACAAGTAGACAAGTAGACAAGGAGACACGTAGACAAGTGGACAGGTAGACAAGTAGACAAGTGGACAGGTAGACAAGTAGACAAGTAGACAAGTAGACAAGTAGACAGGTAGACAAGTAGGCGAAACTACAAGTTTCTTTAACAAAAATAAACATATTCTAATGATCACATGGGGATTTGTAAAAACACATATTTAAGCAATAAAGCCTATTCTGCTGCAGTAATTTTATATTTATTTATTGTTCTAATAATTTGATGATTTAATTTTATTTTAGTTTTCTCACTAAAAAGATTTCTATAATTAAATCATGAGAATAATTCATATTTGATAGGAGGTTCCAAATTTGACCCTTCAATAAAATTTTATTTTGAAGCCGCTTTTATATCAAACATTTTTGTTATTAAACTTCAAAGTTTTGATAAATTATCTTTTAATCATATTTTGATTTGCAAAAACTAGCGGTTTTATCATCGCCAATATTCCGACACGAGTATTTATGATAAATAACATCTGTTTATATTAACTTGAAAAATGTTAATTTTTAAATTTATAATTTAGTGTTTATGATGATTCAAACCTTATAGAGGTGTTAGTTCCACATTTTTATCGGTCTGGGTTGACCCTCGTCAGTTCTAAGTCTAACGATTTAATAACGTCAAAATCAATAATGATAAAATGTTAAAAAACCACAAGAAAATAAACAAACAAAAAATATTTCTTTAAACGAACTCAGATCATGATTATGCAATATTTTATAAGAAAATATTTTATAATTTAATTAAATCAAATAAAAAAGATAACAGAATAATCTCTATTTTAGGATTATGTTTTCGTAACTTCTCCCTTTTACATAAAAATGATTAAGATCAAATTCTGTATTTCGTTAACTATTGCAAAATTATATTTTTCTAGCGACATCATTGCAGTTTAAGATTCAGGAGCAGCTTCCAGTTCAGCTACAGCTTTCTTAAATTCTTTGAAGGTTACTTTCCCATCTAAATATCTACTAAATTATTTTATCTGTTTTTCTAGAAATTGCAAGGGTGTCACAAAAAAATCATCTAATTACTCATCGAATTTTATCAAAATTTAATTAAATTTGTATTTAAAAAATAAAGTTATATTTTTAATTTTCTTTACGCTTTAAAATGATCCTTTTATTGTAGTACCAGTACCGGTCAAACTTTGTTGTACTGTACATGCATGATATTGTTACCCAGCCCAATATACAGTACAGTACATGACCATAGTAGTCTGCTTTATCTTTTTGAATAGTTTTTAAAAAGTATGTTTTTAATTTCTCACAATAAATAAAATTTAAAGTTGAACCACCTCCTCTCCAGAAAAGTGGTTCAACTTAGTCCACGTAGTACAAATACTTCTCGTTATCTAAGTATATAAAGTTGTAATTTCTGTTTGTTTCTTTGTCCGATCATAACTCAGGAACCCCTGGACAGATTTGCCTCATATTTTTTTGGGAAACTCGGGAGAACCATGGAAATGTTCTCAGCCTGGTTTTGAGAAACTAAATGAAGTGGATCGACTTTTTTCGGAAAAATAGCTAAAATCGTAATTTACGTCAAAGCGCGGGTAATCAGTGGGACTAACTATGACACCTTGTGCAACGCTGGATTCCCTAGCTAGTTCATTATAGTTTGTCTTTAAAGGTTTAAAAAGTTAAAATATAAACATTTTTTCTGTTAGTAGTATTCCTGAGTCTACATCAGCTTCGTTCATCCATTTGGAAATCTAAATTTTGCAAATCTAAATTTTGTAAATATAAATTTTGCAAATCTAAAATTTGGAAATCTAAAATTTGGCAATCTAAATTTGGAAATCTAAATTTGGATATCTAAATTTGGATATCTAAATTTGGAATTCTAAGTATGGAAATCTAAAACTTGGAAATTAAATATGGAAATCTAAATTTTGAAAATCTAAATTTTAAAAATCTAAATTTTGGAAATCTAAATCATATCGAATTTATTTTTAATAATTATACTTTTTAATTTAAAATTGAATTCAAATTTAAATTTATCAGATTAACATTTTCAATTTAAAAAAAAAAACTTTTTTAATGAGTTTCTTACGTTTTTGATTCCAAATCTTTTCTGTAGAAGTTTGGAGGCTAATCTCATTTCCTGAAATATACAATATTTCACCTCATTCTTTTCTACATATTTTTTATTTTTTATTTCAACAATTTCTTTAAATAATTATATGAAAGCAGATGCAAATATTTTGACATTTCTATATTTCTTCTTCTTCATGTTCTTCTTGTTCGTCCATCTTTCATCAAATTTCGGCTATATTTTGTTAAAAAAAAAATGGTAAATCCGAGCAGTTGCCGAGCTGCTTCTTATTATTCAATTTGTCGCAGAAATGAGAAGATCCTCGAATTTTAACCTTTTTGCAGTTTTACTAGAACGAAATTAGAAAATATTGAAAATTGTGAAAAAATTTGCATTTTCTGCATAATTCCAGGGACAATTATGACCATATAGAATATTGGTGCAAAGTTCAATACTTTTTGCAATTCTTACCTGCCGAGAAATTGAACCACTGCAAAATTCAAAATATTTTTAAGAAAATTCAACATTTTCATTTTAGTCAATATTGATGTTGAATATAGGGTGTCCCGATAAAACTTCATTTTATGCAAATTATTAATTTCATGAATTGTGAATCATAGAAAAAATGTTAAGATAATTGTCAATATTTATAAATATTTTGACGTTTCCTTCTGTTGACATCAATCATTTTGAAGATCGCCTTCGCATCAAGTTCGATTGCATCTTCCCCTGAATTTATTCATCAATAAATTAATCAATTCAAAATAATGATAAAAATATTCGATTATCAGATTAAGGTTAATAATCCCGAGATTAAAATTAATAAGCGATATTGTCACAAAATGGATTATAAGCAAATCAGATCAATTAATAAAATAGAGTAGGATTATCTTGCAATAATAATGAACAAGCAAACAATAAAAACCCCCAATTAAGTCATATATAAAATGACCAATACTAGTTTAAGACATTTATTAGTTTATATAAAAGGTTTATGCAAACGTTGAAAAAATAAAGAAAAACTTACTTTTTAAATCTTCTGAATTGCAGTGCTTCCAGCCAGCTTCCTTCATCTTATCCATCATAATCTGCACTTACAAATAGATGTATAGATGAATAGAGGAATAGAGGAAGAGATAAATTGATAAATAGATAAATAGATGAATTGATAAATAGATAAATAGATAAATATATGAATAGATAAATAGATAAATAGATAAATTGATAAATATATGTATAGATGAATAGATGAATAGAGGAAGAGATAAATAGATAAATAGAGGAAGAGATGAATAGATAAATAGATAAATAGATGAATTGATAAATAGATGAATTGATAAATATATGAATAGATGAATAAATGAATAGATGAATAGATGAATTGATAAATATATGAATAGATGAATAGATGAAGATATGAATAGATGAATAGATGAATAGATGATTAGATGAATAGATGAATAGGTGAAAGGATGAATAGATGAAAGGATGAAAGGATGAAAGGATGAATAGATAAATAGATGAATAGGTGAATAGATGAATAGATGAATAGATAAATAGATGAACAGATGAATAGATGAATAGAGGAATAGACGAATAGATGAATAGATGAATAGATAAATAGATAAATAGATGAATAGATTAATAGATTAATAGATTAATAGATTAATAGATTAATAGATTAATAGATTAATAGATTAATAGATTAATAGATTAATAGATCAATTGATTAATAGATTAATAGATTAATATATTAATAGATTAATAGATTAATAGATTAATAGATAAATGAATAAATGAATAAATATATGAATAGATGAATAGATGAATGGTGAAATAAAGGAATAGATGAATGGTGAAATAAAGGAATAGATGAATGGATAAATAAAGGAATAGGTGAATAGATGAAAAGATGAATGTATGAATAGATCAATGGATAAATAGATCAATAAAGGAATAGATGAATAGATTAAGAGAAGAATAAGGAAAAGATGAATAGATGAATTGAATGGACGGATTAATGACAGTTTATCTCATGTGTATAATATCATATGACACTCCAAGAATTTAAAACTTTTTGTTAAAGTTTTTGCAGAACATTTTTCAGTGTTTAATTTCAACAAATTTACACGATAAATAATACGAGCCAAGCTATATTCAGATATTCAGTATACTCTACACAGCACTAGTGGAAGATAAATAATACGAGCCAAGCTATATTCAGATATACAGTATACTCTACACAGTACTAGTGGAAGATAAATAATACGAGCCAAGCTATATTCAGATATTCAGTATACTCTACACAGCACTAGTGGAAGACAAATTTACACATGAACATGATAATTTCAAATATTCCCAGATTAGGATCTTAATTGTTTCCCTCTGCTGTATAATGGGAAAGATGGCGAAAAGTTTATAACTTTAAGTTTAAAAATGACTTACGCAAAATTGTTTAAAGTTGACAGTTACATCTCCATGCGTATCAAATTCATCAAGAATAAGTTTCACCTGCAAACAAAATCTATTATTTTAGGAATTTTAAAATGTTATCTGAAAAAATAAATGTTTACCTTAATGTTTTTGTCGATATCATCATTAAGAGCTCTGACATGGATGACGACCTCTCTCATATAAACTTCTTGGTCGTCTTCCTCGTCAATATCATTAAACAGGTCCTATATCGGCATTTATAGCACGTTATACATCGGCATTTATAGCACGTAATACATCGGCATTTAGAGCACATTATACATTGGCATTTAGAGCACATTATACATCGGCATTTATTGCACATCAGCATTTATAGCACGTAATACATTGGCATTTATAGCACGTTATACATCAGCATTTATAGCACATTATACATTGTATTATGTACGTAGTAATATGTATTCATTTTGTACATTGTATTATGTACGTTGTATTTTGTACGATGTATTATGTGCGTTGTATTATGTGCGTTGTATTATGTGCGTTGTATTATGTACGTTGTATTATGTACGTTGTATTATGTACGTTGTATTATGTACGTTGTATTATGTACGTTGTATTATGTACGTTGCATTATGTACGTTGTATTATGTACGTTGTATTATGTACATTTAATTTAATTGTGTACAGTGTGTTATGCACGTGGTAATATGTATGCATTTTGTAAATTGTATTATGTAGGTTGAATTTTGTACGTAACATGTAACATGTCCGTTGTATTTTGTACATTTTATTGTGTACGTCGTATTATGTATGCTATATTATGTACGTTGTATTTTGTACATTGTATTTTGTACGTTGTATTATGAACGTTGTATTTTTAACATTGTATTATGTACGTTGTATTTTGCACATATTATTATGTACGCTGTATTATGTTTGTTGTACCTTTGAAGTACCTCAAAAATTGGGCTGGAGCTGTTCAACCGTTAGAACATTTATTGGGAATAAAAACAGATAAGTCAATGATACTAAACACTTGACACATCAGGTTGCAAAGATATAAGGATAAGAAAATTAGGGAAATGTATTTCAGTTGAAGTTGATAGTATGGATACTTCATTTGCTTTACTTTTCTACAAAGAATGAATATTTGTATTGAGACTTATCATTAAATACATTTTATACAAGATAAATATAATAAACATTAATAGATAAACAACCCGTTTTTCCATTTAAAAATTAGATACTCTTCATATGTACCCCTTTCTTTCCCCTCCCTTCCCCCCCCCCATCCACCCTTAAAAAAAATCAATTGAAGTAATAAATATAAGTTTAAAACACCGAAATAATATGCGATAGAGTAGATTTTTCGAAATTATTTTGATAATATCTTATTATTACTTTTTAGCTAATATTTATATATAATAGATTAAACACGATTAAACCTCTAAATGAAGAAATTACCATTTTAATTTATGGCAAAACTTGCGTGGAATACAGGATAAATTAAAAAAAAATTAGAAAAAATGATTGCAAATTTGATGAAATTATATTTGCAAATGAATGAAAAACTGACAAAAAACGTTCGGAGGCCACTGAGATGAACAAAATTAGGGTTTTCTTTAAAAAATGTTACGCAGTTTTATTTTGCTCAAGTAGGTTTTAATGTTTTTTATTCAAACAGCATCCAAT